TTGGTGGAGCCATCCCATCAGGCAACTCCTAGCCTCTAAGCGCAKAAAGGCTTGTCCTGGCCTGCCTTGGCCCGGATGCCGCACGGGTTTCTTCCGCTGTAGAACTACCCCCGTGACACCCCGGCATGGAATATAATTATTTTTAGTTTTCTCTTTATTTAATACATAACAGAATTATCCGGTATTTCGGATTTCAATAACAGGAAAACTCAGCGTAGCTGAACCCGACCCGATTGCAGCTCTACCAGCGGTTACTCCCATGTCCAATTTCGTACAACCACGTAATCCAGCAGTCAAATAATAGCCGTTGGTAACTTCCATTAAAAAAAAGGGAAAAAAAAAACAGCCGTTGATTCTCATTGTCCAAACTGATGAAAATAGGCTAATAGCATTGGACTCCGTTATTCTACCGTGTGCGTTCAATTGTTAACAGAATCCCAGCAGATTACGTGCAGAAAATCAAAACAAAAATAGAAAGAAAATACAGAGTATGATGAGATTGCTTCGCTCTATCAGTTTCTTCACCCACTACTACTTCAGTAGTTCCAATCCTAGACTAACTAAGAACTTATTCTCATATTGTAATTATAAATGCCCTCTTCTCTTTCCGCATGTTTTTCGTTCATTTTATAGTTTATATTACATGTATCGATTTCTGTTCTGTTCTGTTCTGTTCTATTGATCTATAGGTGTTTGTACAACAATATAATGACTAAGTTTACACTACTGTGTGAGCTATTCTTGCCATCTTCTCAATCTTTTCATCAACTTCTTCAGTCGGGCAACAAGATGACTATGAGTGGTCTGCACCTGAATACTCCATTGCGGGAGATCCTGGTATGAGAAATTCTAACCTGAGATTGGCGATAGATTCATGGAGCTACTGTAACAAGGTTGGAGAAGAAGCTCCGAACATGGGAAGCCCAGCTGCAGCTGATTGCTTTGATGTCCATCCTAAGACATCCTCTATTCGTCATAGAGTGACATCTATGATGGAAGCGGATAACGGATTTGAGTGTGGGTAACCCTTTTCCTAGTTTGTTCTGGTGACAAGATTTGGCTCATGTTCACGACAGAGATTTTTTATGCTGTTTAGAAGGAACTGTACCTCTGCTCCAAATGCGAGGTACATGGGTATGATCTGAGGTTTATTTCTGATTTTTATCAGTTTTGGGTGATTACTGTTAAAAATGGTAACATAGACACACATGCTGGATTGTGTCCGAGTAATGGCAAGAAGGTTGGCCCTTTTGAAGATACAGAAGGTAGATTATTATGTTTTGGAAGGAGGTGTATGAATCAACCACTTATGTTCCATAACTATACCACCTTGCAAACGGTTGGAAAGGAAAATTGCTAAGAGGGAGTTTCTTTGGCACCTATGACTTTGATGTTGATTTTGCTAAAGGAGTAATATGTAACATTTCTTACTACTCTGTGGCTTGGGAAAAGAAATTTAGAGAGGATAGAAGTTGGGTTTTTCATCACTTTTTGAGGACATTAAAGAAATACCTATCATTAAAGCTCAGCCTGAAATCTGACACTATGGGTAGAGAATTTGACTATGGTACTAGAGGAATGACTAAGGATGCAAGTATGATTTTGCGGCTTTCTTTTTTGGTATAATTAATTTCTGATCATATTAATTATACAATTTACAATTGTTTTTAGTTAAGAGTTTTAAATTCTTTTGGTTTGTTATGATATTGCAGCTTACAATTTCACCAAACTTTGAAGTTATTTTCACACTTAATGTTCTCAAAGGATGGTGAAAATAGCCAATTCAACTTGCTAGAAATGAGAAGCTGTTGGTGGAACGATGGTCTTAGATGTAAAGGCAACGGTACAATTGATGTAAATTGATATTTCAAAATGATTCTCAGTACAAACACACAAGTGCATTGTGCAGTTCTACCAACTTAAAAACATGTCCTCCTTATCATATTAGTCATGGTGGTTCTCCTCCTACATATCATAATGACACAGCCAACTTTACATATGAGGTTTACCATAGTTACTGTGCACCTAGCAATGCTTAACACCTTGAAGAGCCATAGCAACTATGCAACCCTTACAGCAATCCAATGCCACAGGAGATAATTAAGATTCTACCTCATCTAGTTTGGAAATCAGTGCCTATTGGAAGATCTTGGGACTTTATTGGCATTGGTACAGAAGTTTTCATGAACCCTGACCAAGTTATGGAATGGACAACCAGTGACTTCGGACTGAGTTGTAAGTTTCATTGCCAATTTTCTTGGGAAAATATGTAAACTTTTGAAAATTTGGTTATCTTGTTAAATTCTGTTCAATCTTTTTATTTATTAGGATGATCCTAATGAAGTTCAATGCAATCACAAAGTTCTGTCAACTGTTTTTAGTTATATGAGTTGTTGGGAGCTGAGTTCGCATGTTTAGCTGAAGGAGAGAACCCATATTGTTTTGAAATTGAACCTGCTCAAGTATATTATGGTTCAGGTTGTCGATCCACTGGTGTTCTGTGAATGAGTACTGTTGAAAATGAGAATGAATCAAGGTAATGTCTGTGATGGAAAATGTTAAACTACTTGAAATTCTAAACTACATTTTAAATTCAGAAGTAAACTGATGCAGCCCTGTGATGGAATTCAATTTGACACTAAAAGGAAATAGGCTACACAATGTTTTTTTTTGAAACTTCAATAACAAGCTTTTGTTTTTAGTTTAGGAAACAAGAAATAGGGTACACAATGAAGTAGATATTTCTGTGTTTCTATTTAATTTTTTAGTTCATACCATGTGTGAGACCTTTTGTTTTTGGAACTCAGAGAAACAAGCAGCAAGTAATGTTTGACACCCCCATACTACAGGTTTTATTCTCTATATTTTATGGATAAAGGTTATATTCTGCTTGCCCTGAGTCATTGACGATGTAAATTTGAAGGAAGTTAGTCCAGATGGGATTTTCCAAAGTATATACATTTTACTGCAACTGAGTACATCATAATTAGGCTGATGGTCAGATACATCATAAAAGGTTATATTCATGATACAAGTTTCGATAACATGGAAGCCAATTATCACCTTCCGTCTCCAATGATATTATGGAGCATTGGTTGAGAAACAACTTTTGTGGAAGTGTCTGCAGTCACCATGGTAGTATCTGATGATGTCTTGAATTGGCTGTCAGTTGACTCTGACATTGACTTGCTCAAAGAATTCTTACTCAAAAAGCTACTGGTGATATCATTAAATTGCCAATCTGTTAAATAACTGGGTTTGGATGTGATGGTGCTCACTTCAATATCTCCTGAAAGCATGGCCACAACGCGTGACATGGAGGGGCGCAGTGCTGGTGAAGTCTGAGTGCATAACAGGGCTATTCCTATAAGTCGATGAACTTCTCCTTCATCAAATTCACTTAATTTTGGATCAACAAGTTCAAGCTCGTGGCTCTTTTCATGTAGATTCCATACCTAAATGGTCAAACAAAAATTGCAAACATTGGTAATGAATTATGTATGTTTAAGTGATGCAAACTTGAAAACTATAAATTTCATATTCCATTCATTCTTACCCATTCAAGAAGATAAATCTTCTCTGGAGCCAAGCTGGAGTCAGAATTTGGCCGCCCACTAATGATCTCTAGAGTGACAACTCCAAACCCAAACACATCAGCCTTCTCGGTTAGATGTCCACGCATAGCATACTCTGGTGCGAGATAGCCACTTCACAGACATTAACCGAAACTGAGGTCACTTAGTTATATAGATTAAATATCATAAGTATAAATAGAAAGTAATTCAAGCTAGAAAATGATGCAAGTAAATGTTTTCATATGATTACATTGTTCCTGCAACTCTGGTGCTAATGTGGGTCTTCTTGTCATCATACAGCTTGGCCAAACCAAAATCTGAAATTTTGGGATTTAACTCAGCATCAAGTAGAATATTACTAGCCTTGACATCTCTGTGTACAATCCTAGGTCTTGACTCTTCATGAAGATAAGCTAGCCCTCTTGCAATTCCCAAGCATATCTCATAGCGAGTTCGCCAATCAAGATTCAAAGAAGTCTTCCCTGAAAACCAGAGGCACCATTTGGATATACATGATCTTTATAGCATCTAATGTGTTCCATATATATGAAYAAATTTATGGAGTTTCAAGGTGAAAGAATAAATCTTGAAAAGGTTCATACCAAAAAGGGCTTGATCAAGGCTTTTGTTTTCAAGATACTCGTAGACCAAGAGACGCTTCTCTCCTTCAATGCAGCATCCATATAATCTGACAAGGTTACGTTGTTGGACTGTAGATATGGTAGCAATCTCTGTTACAAATTGACTTCTTCCTTGATGGGATGCTACTGAGAGTTGCTTCACAGCCACTACCCTCCCATCAAGAAGGGTACCCTGTAGAAACCATACAATTCAATTTGAGCTCTTTGTCAGTATATATGTATTCAATTTGAATGTGTTTGTATTTATGCACAAATACTTGAAACTACATAAACTTCTCCCCCCTTTATGTGGGTATGTATTTACTTACGTGCATGCATTCATATACATATCGATATATACATACAGATTGTGACAGAGAAACCTTCAAAGACACTCATACATACAAATATTGATAACATATGTATAACAAACAACTAGAAATTGTGTGAATGTTATTCATGAATAGATACTAAAACCACTTAACTCCCCTCTTTATGTTTGTATACTTATGTATTTATGTAAACATAAGTATTCATGCATACGTGCATGATAGATAAGGTGTGTAATAATGCTCTTTTCATGTCACCTAATAAAATCCATTGTATTCTAATATCAAACAATAATTCCATGTCCTGTTCTATAGTAAGAAATGAGCCAAAAATTTCCATGGAAGCTCACTTGTTTTTTCTAATTTTATGATCACCATACTAACCCTGGGATTTGAGCTTTAAAGGAGAAATTAAGTCTTTTAATTATGATGTTATGTTATTCTGTAGTTCATTATAAGATTGGTAGATGAAATGCAACTTACCTTGTAAACTGGCCCAAAGCCCCCCTCTCCTAGCTTATTTTTCGAATGGAAGTCTTCTGTAGCATTTTTCAGTTCAGCATAACTGAATGTGTTTGATCTGGGACCTATTCCCATAAACTCTGCGAATAAACACAAAAATGTGGATTATAACTTTAATCAGGGGCTCTCCTATATATAGGATCAATGGCCTGCTCTTGGTTGTAGCTTGTCGAGCATCAAAATTGAGAAAATTTAGATTAGTTTGTCTTTCAGCATTTATACTAAAATCTAATTGAGTTWGATAGACAGTATAACAGCCAGAGAGAGATTTTTTGATCTTATTATTACTTGGGTATCACCTGAGGAGTGAGTCAAAAAATTAAAAAAGAAAAAGAAAAAAAGAAACCACCATTACCAATTTACCAGTTAACCAATGTTAAAATTAGAATATTTTACCTTCTTCCTCATTGGCACTTGATCTTTTCCTTTTTAAGTAAAAAACTATAAAAACTGCCAGAAAGCTTGCAACTGAAACACCAACTACTAGTCCAACAATCAATCCTGTCTTTTCCTTACTTGTTGTGGTTGTTGGTGTGAAGTCTGTCCAAGAAATCCACAATCAGTAATTTAAAAAAAAATAAAAGAAGACTTGATTCTTTACATCCATTCATTAAAATAGATTCATCCATCAATTCCTAATATTACCTGGAGTTACAGCCAGGGCAGAGATAGATGGTCCATAGTAACCTTGTTCAGGTATGCAGCAAGTACCTTTTCCAGCCCAGAAAAGATGAATTTCAAGAAAATTCTCAGACACATTTGCCTTAAAGTYTTTCTGAACAGCAAAATTCGAGGCTCCACCTGTCTCCTTCCTTATATYAAAGTCTTTTAATTCTCGATTCCCCTAAAAAATTAAGAACATAGTTTCAACAATCAAGAAAATCTCTCATAGCATCAAGTATATATACAAACTAAAAGCACATGCACATCGACAAACAGGCTTTTTAGTTTACTTCTGGTATTCTGTAAGATAAATTTGAGAAATTCAATGATTAAAATGAGCTCAAGATCCCAAAATAAAAATTATAGATTCTATTCTGACCATTTCTTTTAGTAAATCATTTGGGTTGTGGACAAAAAACCTCAATAAGCTTTATGTATACTCCAATAAATTAGAAATGAGTTGAAATAACAATGAGGATTACTGGAATTTAGGACATAAACCCACTATTATGTATACCTGTATATAAATGTCAAAAACACGCCTGCCAAGACTTTGCCAAGTTTCTGTGCTTGCATCACTGATTCCTGTCTCTGCAAACCAAAGGCTTACTGTGTAGACTCCATTTTCCAAACCTAGGCCATAGTATCTTAGTGATCCTGGAGATAGCCTTGATGTTTGGAAGAACTCAGTGGTTAAAATACCTGCACCTGAAATTTGTGATAAGGTGTTTTGGAAATAACTTTGGGTCTTTCTATCATTGAACAGTCCAACATTGCTAACTCCCCATTTTTGGGTATCTGTTACATAATATGATGCTGGTCCCAGAGATTCATCTTCTCTTTCAAAACGTCGACCATCAGTAGATGCCTTGGTTCCAAGACCACCACACTTGATTGAAATGTATGCATCTGTCATAACAAGTTGTCAATGTCCAAGTTAGTTCCAATATAGGGCATAAGCATAAATTTGTATCAACTAAATATAGGATAGACCTATCTTCCACTCGATTGAAAAGTTTGCATATGCATCACTGATGCTGAATGTTCATGAAATGAAATCAGATGTTCAAGGAAGAACCGAATGAATTGTTTGGAAGGGATTTTACTTGACTAGTAAGTGAGTATATGCTTTGCATGTGACAATTTTTGATGATGATGATGATGATAGTAAATAATATGTTTCCAACATTTTCTACAATTAATTTATATTTCTTTGTCTATAAAAATTATTCTTATTTGTCATACTTATTTTTGTTTAATGTATAATGAATATACAGTACAGGAAAAATCTATGATGCTCAAAGACATGGTACCAGAAGAACTTTGACCAATCAAAGCCCACCCATAAATTTTGATAAATACCATCTTATTGGTTAACATGTTTTTGATACCGATTGACTGGTAAGAATATTTTCAGATATGTTGTCTTTTTGGTATCATAGTAGAACCCTATACAATATTCAAGATGTGCCCAATAATTTTTTGTGTTTTCATCTTTTAATTGTGACATCAAGGGTTGACAAATTTTACCTAAATGGTTAAATTGTTGATTCACCACCAAACAAAAAGCAACTCCATTTTTTTGTTGGTTTTAAAGTTGTATTTTATTTTCATCACCAATAAAAAGTTAAAACAATTCTTATTTATCATGCCTAGTTTTTTATATGATTAATATGAAATATTAGAGATGTGTCCAAATAATTTTTTATAGAGTTTCTATATTTTTCATTTTTTTTTGTATTTTTATGTTTTTTAATTTTTATTATTTAATTATGGGTCAAAGGTCGACACATATAACCCAAAAGGTTGAATTGTTGACCCACCACCAGGAAGACGATTTCATTTTGGGTTGGTTTGAAATTTTATATTTTATTTTCAACATCAATTAAAACAACTATTATTTATCACACTTATTCTTATTTGATATGATTAATAGAAAATATTAGATAAGTGCCTAAATGTTTTTTACAAATTTCTATAATATTACATTGTTCTTTTCTGTTTTTCTGTTTTTTAATTTTTATTTAATTTTGATATCAAGGGTTGGAACATTTGACTCAAAAGGTTGAATTGTTGACCTACCACCATGTATTGGTTTTAAATTTATATTTTATTTTAACATAATAAGAATTATTTTTATTTATCACACTTATTTTCTTTAATATGATTAATGTAAAACATTTGATATGTGCTATATATATATTATTTTTTGTATTTATTTCTATTTTAAAAGATTTTTATTTCATTATGTCATCAAGGATTGACCCATTTGACCTAAATGGTTGAATTATATTGCTTACTTGTCACAAGGATGGAACAATAGTTCCATTTTTGGGTCAAATTTAAAAAGCATGTATTTTATGTTATTAAAAGTAGTGGATATAAGTTTAATTAATAAAATTTATTGGTAAAAAAAGTTAAACATGGAATTCAATGAGAGAATGAGAGCTAGTACCCTAAAAATAAGACTTAATGAGAGGGAATTGAATGAAGAGAAATGGAGTAGTTCAAATTACATTTTGTGCCTTCACAATTAAATAAATACTAAATTCAAAAACAAGAATATTATAGTCACGAGTAGGATTCTGTGAATGATAATGGGAATTAATACTTTAAAAATAAGATTTAATGAAATTGATTTGAATAAGAACAAAGTGATTGTTCAAATTACATTTTAGTTCTTACAATTAAATTGTGACCAAATTAAAAAATTGAGTTATTTTAGTCAAACAGAAGTTCTACACTCATTCACACTTTTAATAGTAGAATAGATATAGGTTATATGGAAAAAGATGCTAAACTATAAAGATCAAAACTTTGTTTTGCATATAAAATGATTGGTTCTATTGCCTGTATCTTGGGTTCTTGACTACCATCCAATTTCGGATGGTTGCTTATTTTAAAATTAAAGCTTTGCATGGCTAAATGGCATTCCATGAATAAAATTAAAGCTTTACAAAAGTGCAGTTGCTTATTTTAACCCAATTTCTCTTATACAGAACTTGGAGCTTAACAAAAAAAAAAAAAATCCTTTTCACAAGTAATTTTGGTCTCATGATGTAGGTTAAGGACATTTTCACAATTACGGAATAAAAATATGAAATCACTACAACCTAAAGAAGAAATTCTGAGCATCATAATAGATATTGCCACAATTATATATTGAAGGGAAATATGAAAAAACTACAAGCTAAATAAGAAAGAAGATTGTACACACACAACAATAAATATGAAAATACTTACAACGTGGAGAATCTCTATTGCATGGAAAATTCCGTTGAAGGCAATGTAGGCCTGGAAAAGGAAGACTGTATATACACAACGATAATTTTTGAGAATGAAGAAAGATTTCAATTTATACTAGAAAAAAGAAAAGAAAAATAGATAGGAAAGACAATGTAATCTATTTTCATTGTAACACAACATTGTTTAAGAATGCTTTTATATGGTTGAAAAATATAATAACTTACCTAGAATTTGAATCATCAAATACAAAATTGTTGGCAACCAAATTCCTGCAAATTTCACCACACAAGTAGCTTGCATTTAAAAGTATGGATGTATATACTTTTATTTTATATATTAGTGTAAGGGAAAACATACACAACATCATATTGAACTATACAATTTCTCACTATATAATAAAAAATGGAAAGAGGGCCTTTTTTATTACAGAAATTATATATAAACATAATTTGTGTAAAAATAACACTATTACAAATGTAGACTTGAAGGATTTGGTCACATGCATAGAGGACCATATATAGCACCCATAATAAAAGTGATCAATTACAAGTTGAAGGGACTAGAAAGGCTAGGGGTAGATCAAAATGAGCATGGATTGAAGTAGTGGCAAATGATTTAAGTGCTTATAATTTAATAATGGATATAGCATTAAACAGAATTAATGGAATAAAAAACAGGATTCGAATAGCCGGCCCCATAAGAAAAAGCGATCAGTTACAAGCTGAAGGGACTAGAAAGCCTAGAGATGGATAAAAAAAAGGGCATGGTTGAAGTAATAGCAAATTATTTAATTGCTCATAATTTAACAATGGATATAGCATTAAACAAGATTAGAATAGCTGACCCTATATAGTTAGGATAAGGTTTCAATGCTAATGTTGATGATATAAATATATTGCTGGTCGGGCCAGGCCTAAATATAAAACTTAGGCCCAAGCTCAAAATTTTGTGGGATAGGATTGGGCTAGGCCCCAAAATCACCCCTAATTCCTAGACCACTATATATTTATGTTGTAAATCTTGTAAATAATGGATGAACCATTTATAGTTCTTGAGTGCAACATTATAATTTATGTGCTTTCATAGTACTTAGTATTGTGAAATACTTAGTCATATGCTTTCCTTACAATAATATTTGCATTTCATTGTAGTCATATGCAAACGACATGAGTCTAACTTCTTCATACATACAATTGTAAATCTTCGTTCTCGAAAGGAAGGTCTCCTGATAATTGATTATAGGACAAATCACTGCATATAGAGCATATTAACATTTGTTAGTAATTACTTAAGTCATAAAAATAAAAACAAAAAAGTAGCTAAAAATGGTTGTGTATGAAATAAGCATTGCACATGTATAAAACTTTGACTCACCAGTCAATGATATCTATTGAGATTTGCCAAAAATAAAAAGAAGAAAAATAATAATAACAAACAGATGAACCTAATTGTTTGATTTCTTGAGACTCCTCAATGAGTAAGGTAGTCAAAATCAAAATGAATCATTTGTTTAGAAAATATAAATCAAAATTTAATATAACAGAAATACATCATTAAAACCTACATGCTGATTAGACTTGCACTATATCCAAAAGGAATGGAACCAGAAAGGTTGTTGTTTCCGAGAAACCTAACCATAAATAACAAAAACCATGAATTACAGATACATATATTGTTTTCTTTATATGGAAGGATGGAAAAAAAGAGTTTACATGCCACTTACAAGTAAGATAGAGAACTCGAATCGAATAAAGAGCTTGGAATCTCTCCTCTTAAATTATTGAAGCTTAAATCTCTGCAAGAAATATATGTGATTAATAAAAATAGTTAGTGCAAATTATTCTTTATTTTACTTTATTTTATTCAAAAAAATACAATTAAAAAATTTTCAACTCTTTCAATTTTCCCCTATCTTTTTTGCTAAATGAGTATAATGAATCACTATTATAAAACAATTATCTATACAAACTACTAAAGAAAGTAGCAACTTACAATGTTTTCAAACTTTGAAGCTCTCCAATACTAGATGGAATAGTACCCGAAATCATATTATTTCTCAAAATTCTATATAAAACAGAAAGTTAGTGAAATTGAATATAAAAAGGATAAATCTATGATGCAGAAAATATATGGTATGAAAAGAGTTTTGACCAAATAAAATCCACCCATGAATTTTGATAAATAACACCTTATTTTCTAGCACGTTTATGATTTCACTTTATTTGTCAGTTGTTTTTTAGATATCATATCTTTTCCATATAATAGTCGCACCAAAAAAAAAATACATGTATCATTGAATGGATTAGAAAAGTCTCTTACAGTACAGTTAAGGCCTTCATGTCTTTAATGAAATCCAATGTTGAATTGGCATTAGATAATTCACTTATTCGCCTACATAATATCATACAATAGATAATCAGTATAATAATGAGTCTAAATTAAATTTAAATAACAAAAGAGAACTTACAAATCTGTTAATGAAGTCAACTTTGAATAACTTGATGGTATTGGACCTTCAAAAGAATTCCCTTGGAATCTCCTACGTTACCAAATTTAATTTTATTAAGAAAAACCTTGTTGAATGTAAATTTAGAGAAAACTATAACATAATAATCATGCTACAAGTTTGGGGGAGGGGGTTAGTCAATGTGCCAATCGACCAATTTTTCCATGTTCTTTCGTAATGCCCATGGAAAGTGTAAATTTTTTATCACTTTTCTAAGTAAATTTATCGACATAGGAGGAATACTGACCAAACTATTTTGAGACTGAAATGCCTCTACTACTATTACTACTGCAAAAAAAAAAAAAAAAAAAAAATTAAGGCTCTTACCCAAGAAAAGAACACGAATAAATGCATTTACCTAAGTAAACAACTTCCCTAGGCCCAGAAAATGATTATGTGACAGCAAAACAAACAAAATGGTATCTTACAAAGTTTTGAGCTTTGTCCAATTCCCGATAAATTCAGGTAATTTGCCTGTGAAGTTGTTATCTGATGCCCACCTAACATCCAATTTTTTATGGAAATGTGAGATAAATAAATTATTTCTAAACATTAAAGATCAAAACCTTAAAAATTAAGTATGATCATAATCACAATGCCTTACAAAATCTGCATGTTTACTAGTTTAGCAAATGTTGCAGGAATTTCACCACTCACTCCAGAGCTATCTATGTAACTGACAAGTTAAAAAAAAAAATAATATCATCAAATTAAACATCAATCCTTATATTTCTTTCCTTAGGCTGTTTTTGATTTGAAGGAAAAGGTAAGGAAAGGAAGAAAATGGTAGAAAAACCTTTACAAACCTACTTACATTTGTTCAAGTTTGACTAAATTCCCAATTTCCGGAGGGAGTGGCCCAGAAAAGTTATTTGAACCAAAAGCCCTGTAGAAAACAAAATTAACAAAACAATGATTTTTAGTATCAAATCATGAAACAAAAATAAAATAAAATCAATACAAAGAACTTGGGTGGCTAAAATTAATAAATTAGTACAATCAGCACTCTAAAGAAAAGTTTATCCATAACCTCAGGGCCCTATCTATCCAAGGCATTTCCAACTTAACTGATGGTGCGCAATCCGGCCGGTCTTATCTATCAACGACCTTGCCTCTGAACTGAGCAGCAGGGAACCTGAAATGGAGAGGATGAGGAAGCTCCGAAAGGAACCCAGTGTAAAGGCTCTGAACCTCAAGTTAGAATCCTTCAAAGGCGAGATAAAACCAGATAGCGCAAAGTCTGCATACATCTTCTTTGGGGGGTGGAGAGCCTTTTATAACCACCTCACGCACTCACTCCTAGACTTCTGTTAGGTCGGGTATGATTACATCCGTTCTTCTGCCAGCTCAGGTGTCATCACCTCTGCTGGGGCAGAACCGTCACTGCTCTTTTTGTCGGAGCTGTCTCTGTAACTAGAGATGGCGGTGGCAGGTGACGGTGGCAGGTGGCCGTTGAAGTGCGGC